ACAGGAGGTTCCTCTACCACACGTGCTTTGCTTACAAATCACAAACCGTTGACATATCCTGCCCTGCTCAATCAGCGAGCTCCATTACCGTATGGCTGCAGGAGGCTTCTTGCAAATGGCAGAATAGTCCTTGAAAAACAGGTAAAAGCCGCAATTAACTGTGGATGAAAAGGATGGTCTCCTTGGAGGTGCTGGCTAATCAAGCAATTAGAAACTACTTCCCATTACCTGCACTCCCACAAAAAAAAGCTAGACTGACATCCTTCCAGATGACTGTCTTTCCATTTATTTAAGCCCCTTATACAATTTGGCTTCAGCAGAGGCAAGCCTTGACCTCAGGGCTCTCCCCAGCCCTTTCTCCCAGCACTGAACAAAGCAAGCACTGGAACCAACACATTCAATCACTGACATGTTCTCCCTATGGAGCCTGTTTTGCCTCTCAGCCTTCCTGCAGCAAACTCACCGGCAATGGTATAAGTACGTATGCAGATGTGGATACATGGGGTCAGGATTTTTTGAGATCCCTCATTTAGTAGCATCCGAGACTTCTCAGCTTCAGCGATTTCCACTCATCTCTGTGACAACTTCAACAACTGTGAGCAAGAAGCCAGAGATGTGAGGATAAGTCAAGGGGCAAGGAGGATGGAGACCCTCACTCCCACGGCAGGCAAGGCCTGCCTTGTGCCCTACACCAGCCCCTCTACCCCCAAGCAAAGATGCAGCCTGGACACACAGCATCTGGGCAGCCACACCACACAGGTGCCCCAACAGCATGGGAAAGGCCCTACCTGGGACCACACTGGCCTCGTGGGGATGCTAACTTTATCCTTGCCCTAACCCTCAACTGCACAATCTCAGACCAGACACAGGAGTGGGAACCAGAGAACTAGTCTGACGGGAACCTGCCAAAAAGGAGCACAGGTGGAAGAACTAGGATATTTCTGAAAGGACAGTGGTGAGAGATGGATAGGGAGGGAGCATCTCCCACCAAGAAGAACTACCTCCAACATGAGTTAAAGCCTGGGTAGAATATGGAGTACACAAACACGCTGAGAGGGGAAATAAGGAGTCTTGGGGAAAAGGTCAGAAAGTTGATTACAAAATGCCAGTGTGTGAGGGTGGGCTGGCAACTGATGAGCAATGGGCTCTGGAAACTGACGTCTTGCTGTACACGGGAAAGGGATTATAGTGGTGCTGAGTGGGTACAGCTATGCTGTGGCCTACTGGGATGTGTGATGACTGCAAACCAGGAGGTATTTTAGGACTAGAAAGAGGTAAAAGAGTGTGCTGCCATAGACAGGAGTACACAGTGAAACAAGATGTCACAGTATCTAAACTCATTATCATTGCATAGTGGCAGAGGAGTGAGACCCACGGAGCCATATTAGGGACTGCACTGGACAGTACTGGAGCTAGACAACAGAAATGCATCAAGGATATTTGGAAGAACAGGGTTGTAAAAGCTGCCAAGTCATTCTGCAACCACTCAGTCCTATGAGCAGGGATGATCTGGAATGGCCTTGATCAGAGCAGAGAGAAGCAGATGTATTTTTGAAAGGAGAGAGTTTCACAACAGTCCGATCAGTCTTAGCAATGAGTGATCAGTTCCTCTGAGCACCCTGTCCATGGAAATCACATACAGAAGGACCTATAGGAAGCCTTTCTGACAGACATCGAAGGACTGTCAGGTGGAACTGGCTTGACCAAACTCAGAGATGCCCTGGGTTCTACATCTTGGCTCTGGGACCAAACTGGCATCACCTCCCCAGTATCCATGTATCCCACAGCCACAGGCCAGTCCCTTCCAACAGACCTGCCAGAGGGAGGAAATGCCTCTAGTCCTAGCACTGGCAAAACATTTCTTCCATCATTTCTAGTTTCTAAGCACAAAGATTCTGTGTTTTTAAGGTGCAGCCACTCTGAAAGATTTATCTTTCTGAGCCCCTCAACAGTTTTTCTCCCTAAATGGCTGGTGTCCACATTTCACCAGAAGTTGACTGGCTCTGCTCTGCATGCACTTTGTTGAATGAGAGAGCTTAGCTGAACAAGCTATCTTTCCCAGTGTCACTAATAGCTCTGCAGAAAAAATTACAATTGTGGGCTAGGGAACATACTCGTTTTGCTTTCATTTTCCACGCTTGACACCTTTTCACTTTCAGAACTTTGTTCAAGCAAGGAAGATGAAAACAGAGGTAGGAGAGACTCTTTCAATCATATCTCATCACCTATTCTTATGCACACAGCTTTTCCCAACTGCTCCAAGGAATACATCTGATTATTTTTCTCCCAGTGACCCCTGACAGGTACACAGATTCCCCCTAGACTTAAACCAGGGTTTAACAGGGCAACCCACTAGTCAGCATATATGGTGCTTCTCCCTCTGTGTCAGATCAACACACATGGTGTTTGCCTTTAAATCAGTGTACTAGCTCATGCAGCAGAGCTAAATGCTGCAGTTCCCAGTCTCCAGCCATGATGCTGGCCTAGAATGGGAGACTCCCCATCAGCAGGGGTGTTACACAAGTCTGCGTGGTGACAACAGACACATGCTGAACTACTGTAAACCTACCTCACAAGCCCTCTGTCTTTGCTCGAAGATCAGACCCTTTGGCATGGTCTCCATTTATGCCAATTTTCCCACAAAACCGTTCCATTTGTCAAACATCCAAGCCTTTGATAAGATTCTCAGGAGTAGGTCACATCAGAAGACAGATCATTTCTAATTGACTGAAGATACAGTGCTTCTGTACACAAAATTGGCTTTTTTTTGATTCCTCCCCAGGTATCTCTGTATTTCCAGTTGCTATTTCTCACTGATCCAAACTGTATGTAATTACTTCTTGCCTACGCTTGAGGTTCATCTGAGGAGCCTGCTCTTATGCCTGATGGGGGAACTGGAAGTCTTATCACTGAATTCGAGAGCAGCAGGGTTAGGCCTAGGCACCCTGGGAAGGTCCCCTCACTGCCATTTTCTCTTATATTTGAATTCCTCTGCAAGTTCCCAGGTGTGATTCTGGCCCTAAGGGGGAAGGTTTCAGGATCCCTCTTTGCACTGTCCCCTGCCCTGACACTCCACCTTACCCTTCTGCTGTCTAAATTTCAGCTAAACATATCATATTTAAAACGCAGAGGATGTAGCTACACTGGAATTAGATTTTTTCCTGAAATAACCCTATTAAATCCTCTGGGCTCCAGCAAAGTCAACTTTGGTGCATTACGTTCCCCAAATAATCTTTTTTAAATACCTTGATTTGGTACCTTGCAACTAATGGACATGGGCATTTACCTTGGCTTTTAATACTGCTCAGTTTCACCAGCTCCTTTATTTTTATACATGTCATTCTCATAATTTCTCTCTTTCATCGTCACTCTCATTAGCATTTCCTCTCTGTCCCTTTCTTCTCATTTCTACCTTTTTTTCCTCCCTCTCTCTGTCTCTTTAAAATTAAATATTGCCCAGCGCTGCCCATGTGGGTGAAGTGAATGCTAAGAGGGAAGGCTGCTGTGGAGACTGGATTTGAGCTGCCTCACTGGGAATCAATGAGCCATGGAGGGTTCGTCTAGCTCCCAAAAAGCTGAAAGAAACCAGAGCATATCAGTGGCAGCTGAACACGCACTTGAGAGAAAACAGCCCACCTCCAAGCACCTGCCTCAGCACCTGAGAGATGCCACACAAACTGAACCAGAGGTGGCTGCTGTGGTAATATAATGGGGGCTAACCTTGGGATGGCTTTCCACAGCTCCTACGGAGGGGAGACTGCCAGATGGAGGCCTGTGGAGCAGCGGGGGTCTGCAGGGAGCAGCCAGCCTACCCTGCTCCATCTATCCACTGAGCTGTGAAACACAGCTGGTACCAGCCATGCTACACGGATGCAGTGCTGAGAGAGGGAGCATCTTGCAGGTCAGGGGCTGACATTAACCCTGCCATTAAACTGCAGGGAAATAGTAACTGTCACTCCTGACTAGACAATACCTAGACCCTTAAACTGCACATAGGCAGACCTACCCCATCCAAATCTGCCCATAGTTTACCCACTAGGTGCAAATACTTCATCCTCTCATGTTCCCCCACACACCTCCTTACCACACAGTCAGACAGCCCACAACTGAAAACAGCCCCACAAACCTCTATCTATGAGCAACAACAGATACACACACAGCTTGCCTTCTTCAACCTCATGTCTTCTTCCCCATCACACACACCCTCTCTACCACTGCCTTTGCACACTGTTGCCTCCTGCCTGCCTCTCACCATGTCAGTTGTGATCCTTGAAATGCCTCTCCTCAACCTGGGCTGGAGTGTGAGGGGACTTCTTGTAAGGGGCAAGAATAAAAGTAGCAGAACAGCCCCTCCAAATACAGCAGTTACTTCCCTTATATCTAGTGAACACAGGTACCTACCTCTGATCTCAGTGCTGTGGGCTGCTGAGGGTTAATGGTGACACAGACTCCTGGGCTACTGCGTTACCTGACTGCAAACACCAGAAGTGATTTATGCTATTATTTTCTTTGGGGGTTAATTAGGGGCTCGAGAAAGTAAAGGGCTGTCAGTGCTAGCTGGAATTGGTCTAGTGCAACCAGGGGAGAGCAGCCATCTCTCACAGAGCTCTGCTAATCTATCTTTGTCCTGAACATCAATACCTCCAGCTCCCACCCCTCAGTGTGGCAGACAGCCCTCCATCCTGACCTCCAGCAACACTGCTAGTCTTGGCATAACCTCTGGGGTACACTGCTCTGCGGAGTCCTGCCATTTCCACCTGGCATATTTCACACCCTTAATCCCCTGTTACCTTCTCCTTCCCTAAGATTGCCAGTAATGCCCATCAATGAACAGGGAAAATTCACATGGCATTCTCCCAGGGGCAAGGAGGAAATATCTCCCTTTGGTATCTCTTGCAACTGAGAACCACCAGGGACCTCTTTGCTCCTGTTTTCCTTCATCTAACTGCCCAGGGGCTGCTGAGGCCTGAGAAGCCAACACAGGCTATGGCTGTCCCTACCTCTTTGCCCAGATCCTCACGGATAACTTGCTCAATCTCCTGCCTGGTGCTCTGCGGGGCCTGGCTGTGCAGCACTTTGAGGGTGCGGGTGTACTCCTCGGGCAGAAGGTAGTCAAGTGCTCCCAGGTGCTGTCCCACCTTGATGAAGGTGCCTCGGTTGGCGCAGCACAGCTCCCGGAGGCGCTCAGCAGAGCGCAGGTGCACCTGCGGGAGAGACCAGAACATCAGCCAAGCCCTGTTACACGCACGCGCCCACATACGTACCTTTTATTTGTCCAGTACTTAAACAAACCAGGGATCTCTTCTCTTGATTTTGGGTATCATCAAATGTGTCAGCTAAGTATTAGGACTCTGGCTTGATTTAGAGGTGCTGAACCAGATCAGGACAAGATGCTCCAGAGTATAAGGGGCTTCGACACCCGTTTGCACAGGTACCATGATCAGTGACAGCACATTAGTTTTTGGCTCTGTCCAGGGCTACGTCCTTGCACAGAGTAAGATGTCTAACCACAGGGCAGCACTGGTTTGTCAGTGATCCACCGCTACAATGCACAGCTTGTCAAAAGACAGAAGTCAGGACCACAACCTTGTATGTTAGACTCTTGGTGTCAGTGCGATGAATTCAAGTGAAAGAAAAGGACAGATACCATGCCAGAAGCTTCCAGGAATTTAGAATAAGAATCTGTTAAAAATCAAAACTGCAGATGTCTATTTGGCAGTGAGGAGCACAATATGTGGGCAGTCCTTCATCCTCTTCAGCTCACTGCCACACCACAAGGGGAAATGACATCCCTCTAGTTCAGCCAGGTCATAGTCTTACTGCTTACATTGCCAACAAAGTCTGCAGTGACAGTGGTTTTATAAACTAAGAATTACAGGACCTGAGAGCTTTGCTCACACTGGTCAAAATGCAGCCACCAAATGACAAAACCCATCACCAACCACTTTCCTGGTCTGAATTTCAGCTCCTGAGGTTCATTTCGTTCTGAAGAACAGACCAGTCACCACACCCTTCAGTGCCAATGATTTATTCTTCCTTTATTACTCTCACTAGAAAAGCCTCCTGACAAGGACACAGCTACACTCAATATTCTTTAATAAATTTCATATAACTTTACCCTGATATATTAATAAAATCTAAGCAAATCAATGACAAAAAATAACTCCACACCCATCTCCTGTTAATGTATGACACCTATCTGCATGGAGGCTCCCAATTCCACTGGCTTCTGTGTCAAGTCATTAAAGGTCAAATCCTGTATCTGTAGACTTCATCTGCCCAGGATCATGTGGTGATGGACTCCACCAAAGGCCTTGAAATACGTGGCAGAAAGGAACACCCCCCACATCCACCCCATTTAGTGGCTGTCTTTGCCCTCCATGCAAACAATGACATGTCACATCCTGGGACAGGGCAAGTGTCTCACATTTGGGAATGCGTCAGGGGACAGACTGGGTGCAGAGCTGCAAGTGCCCAAAACACAGGCCTAGGGGAGTGTGAGAAGAAAGCCTAATGTGTGAGACTTGACAGCTTGATGCACATGTGCACGTGCACATGCACGCTTTCCTAGATGGGTGTGCATGGGCAAGCATAACTCACATAAGGTGAGTGAGCTGCTTCCAGCATATTGCCTGCTCAAAAGCACTCCTAAATACATAGGCAGAAAATAATATCCATGAGCATGCCTGAAGTCCCCCACATTATTGTGCTGCATTTTATACAGCAGCTTTAAAGCTCCTGCTGTAACAAGCTAGCCTGTGCCCTGGCTGTTTCTCTGCTCTCCTCCCCTGTGTGTGGCAGAGGCAAAAGCAGGCCTGAGGGGACAAGGAAAGGAAGCTGTGAAAGAGGAGGAGAAAGCAAGAAAAGCAGGGAAGGAGTAATGGGATGAAAGAGAAAGGCAGTGGGAGGGAGGGAGCCAGAGCAGCTGGGTAGTTTGTCACAGCACCAGAAGTGTAGCCCATTACAGGGAAAAAGCTTTTATGTAGCTCCAATAATTGCCCTTCAGACGCTGCCTCCAGCCATGGAAGAAAACCCCTGCCAGCAGTGAAGGGGGAGTGGTGGCTGGCTGGCCACCTCCGAGGCATCAGGCAGCCACAGCCCAGGGCACCAGCGAGAAACCACGGCAAGGCTCCTTGCAGATGTGCACCAGAAACCCCAGCACTGAGCACGGGCCAGCACAGGGCCCTGCAACCTCCCACAGGCACAGCAGGAGCCCATCCAGTGACTCCAGGCTGCAGTATGGCTCAGAGCAGAGCGGCAGCGACCCTGGGGCTGTAGCGCGATGCCGGGCGTGAGGCCAGGCAGCCAGCTCGGGAGATAGGTGCTGGCTCCAATGCACCTACCCGCCACACAAGGATCGCCAAGGGAGATGATAAAAACAGAATGGAAAACTCATGTAGCTGAAAATGCAACTGGTTGTAGACACACCTGGATGCAGGGTGTATCTTCATGTTGGTCACTGATGAGAAGGAGGCAGAAATAGCCTCTCTCTCCCCTAGCACAAGGAGAGAGGAAATTTTGGCCCTCCCAAAATTATCCACCTTGTAGAGAACTCAGTTGGCCTCCTGGACACAGCAGTCGTGGCCAAAAGAGACAAGAGCATCCTTACAGAGGTCTCCAGGAACAAAACGGAACAAAACTCCCAGGCACAGCATCCTCCACCATGCTCTTACAACTGGCTTGGCTAAAACTCCCAAGAGACAGCTGCCCCGGGTGGCTGTCCGGACCAGAGAATGCCAGCTCCCACCACTGCTAGAGAGATAGAAGATGACCAGGCAACTTGCCTCAGAAGAAGGAAATTTATCTGTAGCCCTACATTTTACAGAATTCCAGTCCATATTAGATGCACAAGTACAGTGAGAATAAAGTAGGACTGTGAGTGCAACTTCCAAGGTCTCTTTTCTTATCAACCAGGTCAGGATTTTTAGTAGCAAAAAGTTCATCTACTAATGCTTGGATCTATCTGTACTATCTACTACTTGCTCAGATCTCCCCAAGCTAGGTCACAGTCCAGAAGCAGCACTTGTTTCTCTGATAGATTACCTTCTCCTAATCAGAGGCAAAGTAAGAGTGCCACATTGCTGTGTCCAATACTGTTGACCCACGTTTCTGTCCTAGCTTGAAGAAACTGCAGGGTATATGGAAACCCCCAGAATGGCTCAGAATCTCTCTCTGAGAAATCTCACAAGATACTGCTCTTTGTTGCACAAACAATACCTTGAAGACTCTTCTTATCAGGGAAAAGATATGGGAACAACAGGTAGTTAGACATGGACCCCCTTGTATGCATCAGGCCTAGGAGCACACAACAAAGGAAGCATTTCACATACCGAGGATTACCAAGAGTAAACCTCCCTTGGGAAGCACTTCAGATTACAAATGCTGCCTGAGTGTGTATATGGTTCTTTCCTCAGTCCTCATGGGCATTTCTTTCTGTCTCAAACTCCTTCCCCAAATTTCAACAGGCCAAATTCTCCACTGGCCCACAGCATGGCTATCAAATTCACGTGGTCTACCTAAACCGTGGATAGATTAGAATTAACAGTGATTATTAAAATTGTTCTATATGGGCCATAGTGCAAGTAGCAGCTGTCAGGAATGGGGAGGAGGCACCGCTGGGTTGAAGCACATACTCAGCAGGCAGAACTGCAAAGGGACATTTTTTAATTTACCCTTGATGTACAAGCAGACTTAGATTCTCAGGTAATTTTGATGCTTTTGAACGAGCCTTTACTCAGAGACCTTGGGAAAGAACTGCTCCTCAAAGCATCAGATGTGGAGGTATCACAAACTGGCAGATGCCAATCTGGTTTTAGAAATAAATGAATTAAATTTAGAAGAAAATAAATACTAAAGTTAAAATATACTGGTGAAAACCTGAGTATCTGGTAACAGACCTGGTTACAATAGGGCTCAGAAAGGCCACTAAAGACGGTAAGGTAAGTGGTAGAAGCCACTCCTCATAAAAACTCCTTCAGAAAAGTCATTCCAACCCTGAAGGGCATACTCATAGCTGGCAAAACGTGAAATGAGGATTAGGAATGCAGAGAGAAAATTTGAAATGCTATTAAAGACGTAACAAACAAGTCACCAGAAGTTCCTGGTGATGAGTGCTGCCTCCAGGAACACTGAGAACACAGACATCTCACAAAGGACATCAGGCTGGATTTTGCCCAGAGGACAGGGCTAGAAGGGCTGCTCCTCCTCACACCTCCATACCAGAGAGCACTCTTGTACAGGTAAGCAGGAACAGCTCCACACTACGTGGTGCCCATTTGCATCGCACCTACTCCCAACCTGAACAAGTGAAAGGAGGTGCCTTCTCCTGCTGCAGGCAATTCCCTGCATGGGGCAAGACGCTGAGGAGAAGCCTGCCCATCACTGCTTACAATGGAGATACACTCTCCAAGACAGTATTTCAAGAAAGAGGACTCCAGAAAATACCTTGAAAACTCCAATCATATACAATTTACAAATTAATTCAGTAAGTAGCTGAGATGCTAATAATCATAATAAAAAGGGGATCGCACATTAAAACCATTAGCTTCCAGAGGACTGAAGGGGAACAAACATTGCCCTGTTTTTAAGAAAAATCGAGAGTAATCTAGGAAATTATAGTCCTGCAAGCTTTTATTCTGTATCAACTAAATTAGTTGAGACAATAATTACAGAGATTACTAAAAATCATCTAGCTAAATGTGATATGACTGAAAAAAGCCAACAGGGATTTTGAGACGAAAAATTCTTTCTTCGTCAGTCCACTAAAATGGTCTGAGCATGTTAGTGCAATGGTCAATAGAAAAGAAAAGGAAGGTATTTATTGGGACTTTCAAGTGGCTGTCAATAGATTCTGTCACAAGGAGTGAAAACTAAGTAATTATTGGTGAAGATGCAATAACATCACTTGCTCATTTTATCCCACTCCCAGCTCTGAATTCCCTCTCTGCAACACCAAGCCCAGCACTACAGACAGCAGCAGCAGAGGACTCTCTAGTTAGGACAAGGCTGCAACATTTAGTGATGTTTTTACCACAGCTTCATTACAACCTGCTCTGAGCTCTTTTAGACGAGGTGATACTGTAGAAGCCCTGTCTATGTTAGCACCTGCAATGTTGTTACTTCCAGCGAGGCTAAGCTAGCACTAGAAACACTGAGAGATGTGATGAAAAGGGAAACAGGTCCAGGTAGTGCCTGCAAGGCAGAA